ACGCAGTTCATCCCATTTTATCAATTTTACTTTTCTTATAAATTTGTGATGGTTACTTAAATTATTTAAAGATGTATATCAAATCTAAAGTGGGTGGTCTCACAATAAAATCGTTATTGGTACATCGCTTGCTATTATTGTTAACAGTGTCATGTCTCTTGATATGATATTTGCAAGTAATTCATGACATAGAAATATTATTTTGATTCCACCAGAGACATCTACAAAGAATAATCTTGTTATACCAGAGTCGACTCTTTATAATATAGTCTTGAAAACATATTCGTGTTTCGGATTTAGCTTTGATCGTGTTTCCTCAAACACTTATATAACATTTTGATTCTTAATAATATACTAACCTTTTAAATTTATGTTGTAATGCTCTTTTTATGAAATAAATTTATGTACCTTAAAAAAATTTAAACTCGAAGAAGAATTTTACTCATGAATTTAAAAAATAATTGAATTGGATTCTCTTGCTAAATAATTAATTAAAAGATCTAATTATTTGGTTTTAATATACAAATATTTTATTCTATGTTGATTCAGATCTTAATATTAGTTCACCTCTTGTTTTGAATATTCAATCTTAATTATAATTTTATCCACCATAAATTTTATTTTCAAAGACTAAAAGATTGATCTGACATTTCGCGTTTAGATCTTTATGTTTGTATAATCATTAGTGGTATTGACCCTTACCAACCATTTTTTGTCTCTTTCTCACATATTTATATTCTTAAATATTTTCTTAGTTGTTGTATAATAATTGGATATTTTTTAATATTATACGAAAAATTGATTACAAAAATATTATTTGAGTAGGAACATAGTTCAAATATAATATAAAAATACATTATCCTGGGGGTATTTTTTTTCTCAATTTTAACTCTTTATGCAGTCCATTTAACATTACCTTTTTGTGGGTATTGGATATTATGGAGTGGTAATGTAATGCCAATACGGATGATTTTTATGAAATTGATTATATTAAACCTTCCTACATATTTATAATAAGAATTTAATAAATAGAATTTTATCAATTTTAAAATCTTAAATATTAAACATTAGCTTCTAAAGTCGACTAATATTCTTTATATTAAATTATGTATAATATAAAGTCGACTAATATTCTTTATATTAAATGTATAATATAAAGTCGACTCTAGTTGAATATTAGTCGACTTTAGAATATTATAAAATATTAGTCGACTCTAGAATGTATAATCGAGATTCTACGTATATTAGTTGACTCTAGGAACAATAAAAAAATAGTATTACTTTAATATATTGTGTAGTATTTGTCACACCCCTTTTTTAATCACCTCACTAACCCTCTTAAAAAAATAAAAAGATTTATGAAGTTCAAAAGAAGTGTTTTTAATTAGAAAGTGACAAATTTGTGTTTAAAAGGAAATAACTCAGAGTCGCCACCTGACATTAGTTTCGGTGCGTCAGGTCACCGTTTTATAAAAATGATTTTTCCTTTTTAAACACTTTGGACTCCAAAACTAAATCTGCACCAGAGATTCGGGTAAGGGGGTTCCTTTGACTCGGGGAAAAGGTGTTAGGCACTCCCCAAGTCCTGTGAAAGTCACGGTTGCGTACTCGATCTAGTTGGCTTTTAAAATATTCGAATTGAGGTAATAAACACAGAAATGGAAAAATTAACACATAAGAGGCTCGAGGTCGTTCCCACTTAATAAGAAAAATAAAAATGAAAATGAAAATAAAAATAAAAATAGTACGAGTTTTACTTTAGGCCTCCAAATACAAATACTTCGGGGCATACCCCGGATAAAAATATATACAAATTGCGCGGGCATTCCCCGGATAATAAACTAAAGGAAACGACCTCTCGTCTCGATACTAACAAAATCCTAAGGTTTTCCTACCCAAGTGTTGACGGCCTAAACGTGCTCCTAGCGATAAAAATAAAATAAAGTGGCGAACATGTAATACTCAAATTTCGGTTCTATTCCCTTTCAACCCCAACAGAGCACTAAAGTAGTTTGTTTATTCCATATCACAGTAAGTTAATCAATTGAAACCTATCTCAATGGGATTGTTAAGCAAAATAACTGAATACATGACTATCTTATAAAAACTTAATCAATTTCTCACCAAAGCATAATTTCAGGATTCAAGCATAACAAAGAATTATGTCACTCATTTTTCACGCTCGAATTCATTCATGGACAAAATATTTAACAAACGAAATTGAGCAGGCAAAACAGAGAGCAGACTCACATCAATTAAATAAAACGAAGAAGACTAAAGTAAGAGTAAACATGGTAAACCAAAATCTTCTCAATAATGAAGAAAAATCAAGAGGTACAACAACTCCGATTCCAAAAATTCGACTGATAAAAACCGAAAAATGAAATCACCAAAGTAGGAACCACGACCGGTAACGCCGAATGGAACATCGAACAACGACCTCAAACTTCTTCAACACCCCAGCCCCAATACAACTTAGCAGAACAGGATTTCAATTGTCTTCAAAGAAATCAGTTTATTTCAACGGGAATAAAGTAAGAAAGCAGTAATGAACTCGGAATTCCGGTTGAGATGGCTTAGTCGGCAACAAAATCGAAAGCTCTGCTCTGAAATGGTGGAGTAATAACAGAGAGAGAGAGAGAGAGAGAGAGAAGAGGGATACGATCAGAAGAGGCTATTCAGATTTTCTTTTCGATGAAATAGAACCGGAGATTTGGAGTTGTTCATCTCGCGCTCACACTGCCTCTTCCGAGCTGCTACTAATGGGAATTGTGGCTGAAGCTCAGGAGTCTAGGTGAAGGATCTTTCTTAGGGTTCCCTTTCTATTGTTTTGAACCAAAAGTGAAAGGTCTGGAGATTCATTGCCTAGAACTCTAAGATTTTCTCACAGTATTGTCTTTAGTTTTTTTTTTACTATTTATCAATTCAAATCTTATTATTATTAAGAGAACAAGTAAGAACGCAGACAGCTGGAATGGCAGAAACAATAGAAGATAACACTACTACACTGAGTATCTCTTATCACTAGAAAATGACTTCTCACTTTTGAGTCTATATGCGTGTGTGCATATTTTCCGGCGTGTTTTGGTGGGAAGGGTCTGGTTTTCGGTGAGTTGAGTGGAAAGCAGAAGGTGAGATCGGGTAGGGTGCGGCGACTGTTGGCTTGAAGATGGTGGGGAAAGGAGATGCGGCGGCTGTTGCTTAGGTCTCTCTAGGTTTAGGGGTTCTAAGGATTTTTTTCTCTTCTTTTTTTTGGTGGGCTGATGATATTGTATTATATGAGTGATTTTGTGAGTCACGTGAGATATGGAGGTGAGGTGTCCAGGGTGATGCCCAAGAAAATTGAATATGAAAGTCTTATTCTAGGAAAGTCAACGTGAGGAGGAGTAATTCCTTAGAGAAAGTGATAAAATTCATGAGCTCTTTTTTTTTTTTGAATTATGTAAAGAAAACTTTTAAGAGTCCAAATGAACCCAACTAACTAACTGAAAAGAAAATAAGATAGTCAAGAATCAATTAGGCATACTGCCTAATACAACGAGAACCAAATATGTCAATACTCCCAACTGAAATGATATATAAGAATAACTCAAAATGATCCCATAAAAAACTAATCAGGCTAAGAAAATATTTACTCTTTTTCTTTTAAAATTTATGATAACACTAACTAATAAAGCTAATACTAGTGTAGTAAAACCTCAAATCATGTGACTATTTTGTGATTTTCAGTTTCACAAATAAGATATATTTAAAATTTGCTAGACAAAAATATTAATTAACTAAATTAAAGGAAAATATTTTTTGTAGTTTTTTTTATTTTTAAGATTGAATAAAGCAAAAAAGTTTAAAATAGTCAAAATAGCGATATTAGGCCTAAACTAAATATTTAACACTAAAATGTGTAAAATTTTAGGAAGGGTCAAAAATTATACGTCTACAGTATTATGTCCTAAAACTAATAGGATTATAAGACTAATAACTAGAATTTCGGTTATATCCTTTTTTTATGAGTTATTATGCTTAATATTCTAAGGTTATTTTTATAAACTGACACCGCATTCATGCTTTTATAATAATATAGATAAAACAAAATTTTTATAAGGTCATTTTCTTTCATTTAAATTGTAAGTGCGGATAGAAGAACATTTACTCAACAGATTGTGCGAATGATACGGTTAAGAAATTAGATTAAATTTCATAGGAAATGCAAAGATTTCAAAAAATATAATTTTAAGGGTTATAATAGGTAATTTATCATATTTTTCAAATTATTAATCTTTACTCGCTTTTTTAATATTTACTTGTTACAACAGGTATTTTCTTATAATTAAGATAGGATAAGAGGAATAATTCAATTTACTTATTGCCGGCAAATATAATGGGTACTTTTTTCCTTTCTCAGAATAATGAATGTGATACATTTTTAAATCAATCACTCTATCGTCCAACAACAACACACACCCAATGCTAACCTCGAAACATCATAATAAACTGTATATGAATCCGATTCTGAAGGCAAAACCAATGCTGGAACCGTTGTCAAACTCCCGAAAGCTTTTCCCAAACTCATCCGATCATCTGAACGATATCGACTTAGTCAATGGGATTGCAATAAATGAAAATACTTTTACGAAACGACGATAATAACCTGCCAAATCCAAGAAGCTCTTGATCTCCTTAGCAATAGAAGGTTTGAGCCAATTCTGAATTGTCTCAATCTTCTTCGGGTCATATAAAGCTTTTCTAGTAAAAATAATTTTTATCCTATGTCTCGAACCCGAGAACTATTTATAACTTTGGACTTATCAACAAAAAACTATAGAAAAGTGAATTTTTTGGGGATGATGTTTAACTTTAGATCCTAGCCAGAACTTCAAGGTCAAAAGTTAAAAGTATTGTCCACGACCCATAGGACAAAAGTGAGGCTAACACTTGTTAACTTGAAGCTGAGCAAAGGCTAGGGGGACAAAAATTCAAGAGGATCCACTTTAAGGCTGTGTACTTTACTCACCATTGATATTGCGATAAATGGTTAGTTTCAACTACCAATAACAGCTTTAAAGCCTAAAACAAGTAAACAACCACGCACCAAAACAAAAATTCCTATTAATAAAACTTAAAAACTACTTACTTCAATGGCGACTCCTCCCTATAGCCTGGCATTGATCATCAAAAACCCTTCAAATGAATCCGAATTCCTACTTGTTAAACAAAACCCACCTCCTAAATTCAACGATCCTGAGTATGACTCTTTCTTGGATTCCCCTCTCTGGGATTTGCCTTCTGCACAGTTATTACCTCTTGATTCTCCTTCTGATAATCAGATTGTAATTCAAGTCCCTGAATCTTGTTCTCATGAGCTTGACTTAACTAAATTTGATCTTAATTCAGCTCTCCTTAAGGTACACTACAATAATTCTACACAACTTTTCTTTTATATTTGTTACTTATATTTGCTCGGTTATTGGCATAGGTAAGAAACATACTTTCCCTATTCAGTATTTCTCCCTTGGTATCAATTTATGTAATACTCTTTCATTTTTAGTATCTCCCAAAAAGAATGACACCTATTTATATTTAGAAATAATTTAACTTTTTTCTAGCCAATGGTCTATCAGAAACAAACCTCTCTAGATATACACTATCCTCCCTAGACCCAGACCCCACTTGTGGGATTACAGTGAGTTTGTTATTGTTGTTGTCATTAAGGATAAAATATGAAGTTTAAAGTTAAATTGTTTTCGAATATAGAAAATTGTCAATCTTTGCTGGACAAATTTAGAAGGAATGTATGGCACATAGAATGGGACGCTAGCGATTAAGTTCCCAAGCTTTATTGGCTATTAAATAGCTTAAGACCAATTAATTGAGAAATGATGTACCCAGAGATAACTTGTTATTAATCATGTATCTTTTGCCTTTTGTTATACTAGCGTTGTCATCATAACTATCATTATCCTTAATTATGATTCATGTTTGCGATAAATATGCCAAAAGAGACTTATTTCCAGATGTTGTGGTGTATACATATGTACACTTTACGATATGAAGTGGTTAAAGCTTGTAGGTGATGATTATTGTAGGTTCTAAAGCAAGTGGAATTAGAGGATACCACAGTTGAGTGGAAGTTCCTGAAGTATGTACAGGAGCCTGAATTTGGACCAGGATTGCCCGTAAAGACAGTCTACATCACTGGAACTTTGGGTCCTAAAGATGGCAAATTGACGGGTTTGGCTGACTTCACTCAGTTTATGTTTGAATTATCTCTTTCATGTATTGATATGAATACTGCTGTTGTGATTCAGCTGGCCTTACATTATAGTCTTAGTAAAGAGAATCTGTAGCCTCCCAATTTGAGCTTGCTCTTAGTCCACCTTAAAGAGCTACACAGGTCGTTAACTTGTTAGATGTAATTTCCATACTTGTGTCTTTATTTTGGAATTAGAAATAAATTTCGAACCACAATTTTTGTGGTTCGTGTGTAGGCGTGGTACTGCCAAGTGGTTTTACTTCTGCAGGACCAGTTATAAAATGATAACTACTCTTCTACATAGTTTCATACTGATAAATCTGCTATTCTGCTTTGCCATTTTCCCCAAATGAGATGGCATCCATAATTGCTAATGAGTTACAAAATACGACATACCATATTTTTTTTATTCCTCTCCACGATTGTCAAGAATGTAACATTGTAACTCATATTGAACAGATGTTGAGTTCCGCAAGTGGATGAGCACCGATAAATGCGTTAGTATGCTTGTTGAAGTGAAGCCTTGTAGTGACCGTGTAGGATCATTGGTGGTTGTTGGTCTTCTGAATGATTCAAAGAAATCTGATGAGACTTGGAAAGTTCCACAGACCTTGCGGTTTCAGGTTTGTTATTTTTTTTCCTGTACTTGCTTACCTGTCAAAGTGTCATTTAGAAATGAGAAAGAAAGAATAGATTGACAACTATTGGTATCATACACAACTAGGGACTAATCATCCTAAGAAGTATCTTGAAAAACATTAATACCGTTCTTACATGAAATTTCACGAACTGACCAGAGGTTTTTCTAAAGACCTGCAATCAAGAAAGAAATTAAGGGATAAGCAACAGATATCAATTGATGTGTGAAAATGTAAACATGGAAAATTCTGTTTCTTTGACTTTTTTATCATCTTAAGGACAAAATACTGCCCACTAATGTTTTTTTTCCTCATGTATCAGGAGTACCCTCCTGGTGTTAAAGTTATACCTATGGAAAGTAGAACAGCTAAGCCTTTTCGCACAACAAACTTAATTGTTTTCCTGCCTGGAGGCAATGATAGTGGTTGCGATGATAGTTTTGTTGCCCATGGGGAAGCACTCATAGTAGACCCCGGATGCAAGTCTGCTTCATATGAACAGGTTAGAGGTAGTACATAATCTACTTCGTAATCTTTTTAAAATGTGCAATGAACAAATGACATTTTGTCGGTCTTAGAAGTTAAACCAGAGAATACAAAAAATAATCCTCTCAAGCAACTGTTTTCGCAAATTTGGTCTTAAGCGGACAGGTGTAGCAATTTTCCTTTACTAAATATAGATGTACTTGGTTTTTTGTACCCTTGTTAATACATTTTTTTAAAGTGTGAGAGTTTCACAGGCCTAAGTGCATCTTTGCAAATTGTATAGCGATTGGTTGACTATAACTCTATAAGGATCATGTAAACAAGCAATGGTGGCAAATACTAGCGGGATACCTGCCTGAGTAAATTCTGACCAATTGCTATAAGAGCTAGGTTCGCTTCTACTGAAGAATCTTTGAACAATTTGGCCAAAATGTTTCTAAGGTGGCAGTAGATAACAGCTCACTAAAGAGACCCTTCAACAACAACAACAACAACAATAACCCAGTATAATCCCACTTAGTGGGGTCTGGGGAGGGTAGTGTGTACGCAAACCTTACCCCTACTCTAGGGTAGAGAGGTTGTTTCCAAATAGACCCTCGACATCCTTCCCTCCAAGAACTTCCCACCTTGCTCTTGGGGAGACTCGAACTCACAACCTCTTGGTTGGAAGAGGAGGTTGCTTACCATCAGAGCAACCCCTTCACTATCCAAATATCTGTCTTTCAGAGTTCCTGAGCAATTGTCATGTTTTATTTCTGTGCTGCTACATTTCTTGTATGTTTGCTTACCACCACATAGATTATGATAACGCCTTAAGGATTCACCTTTCTGGCCAAAGGCTTTGTTCTTTATCCTAAGATCTTCCTTGCTGGTTATCCAGTGCTTACATTTTGGATTAAAAAAATAGTATATGTGGTTTGTTAAAAGAAAATATCATTAGTTCTGGCACTTTCAATTGCAAAAGCAGTAGAGGAGGTAAAACTGAGAATATTCGTACAACGTTAGTACATTCAATGAAATAGATAGCTTTACCTCGGTAAATGGGTCTTTGCACGTGTTTCTCTTTTCTGTATATCTTGATAATTTGTTTAGGAGTGGTTGAGACACTTATTATGCTTCTCTCTTTGTTTTCATCTTCTTCTTTTTTCTGGTAATTAATTCTGTCTTTTATGCTGTGCTGACATATCGATGCCCTGATGCTTGGATTACCAGCTCAAGGAAATCATTGCTGCTTTGCCGAGAAAGTTAGTCGTCTTTGTGACACATCATCATAACGATCATGTTGATGGTAAGTAGCTGCAGAAAGTTTCACATCCAGACCTGGAAATATTATATGCTTAGTGTCACAGCCTTATGCTATCATCTGATTTTCTCAACACTGATGTCATCCTATGTATTCATCAAAGGTTATCCTTATGTATTTGCCCTTTGTTTCAAAGTATCTTTCTTGAGCCTTCTGGCCAAAACCTAATTTTCATGTAAAGTAAGTCACGAGTTTCATTTTCTTTGATTGTCCCTTTTTATGGATCAGAATAAATAGCGTTCTTTTTGCAGTTATGAATTTCTAAGTTGCTCGGACACGGGTGCGGGTGTCCGACACGGGTGCAGATCTAGAGGTCGGATCCTTCGAGATGTAAATTCTAAGATTCGGGATACGGATCCTAGTACGGATATGGGTGCGAGGATCCGGCTAAAAATAATTTAAAAAAATAAAAATATCTCTAAATTATGAGAAATCTTGTGGAATACTTACATATAGCCTGTAAAGTGTGGATTTCTTTTTTGTTCTCAAATTGTAGATAAGAAAAGGATAGATTTCCTAGATAAGATATGCTATTTTCTTCAAGTTTACCCTAGTTTTGGTTCTAATTTCGGGAATCAAATTGTATCTCGTCTCGAACTTTTCCGTCCGTCATGGTCAAAGTAACCAAAGTTGTTTGACTAGATCTGGTACGGAACCCATACCCACACCCATACTAGTGTCATGTCGACACGGGTGCTGCACCTAAACTGCCGTGTCGGAGCAACTTAGAGGAATTTCAGTATAAGCATTATCTGGTTCGTCAGCAAAGGTTTGTTGACTTATTGCAGCATGACTTTATTGAATGTCTATTTCAATAGAAGCAGTGAAAACTTTATAAGATGGTGAATAATTTCTTTATTTTTGTTGTCAAAAGTATTATTTTTAATTCTCTGTCCACCAAACTAATGTGGAGGTTTTGTAAGTTATTCCTGAAACATAATCTGGGGCTCCATGTGCTTCCTGTTGCGCTCAGGTCTTTCAGTAGTGCAGAAGTGCAGTCCTGATGCTTGTCTTTTGGCTCATGAAAATACGATTCATCGAATTAGAAAAGGTCAGAACTTTTTTCAATTCTGTAGAATAGGAAGTGTCTATCTTCCCAATTACATCACCTTAGCAAGTAGTTGCAGGTCTCTGCCCTTTTTTGGTCATGAAAGAACATGGCGAGCCATTGTAATGAAGGATGACTTTTGTGCTTGTCCCCTACTGTTGAAAGACAATTGATTTCCATGTTAGAATGTACTTTCAGTGACAATGCACTTGTAACGAGACATGCCATTTGATGGACTTGTTTTGATGCTCAAAGAAAAAAGCTTTTTGTTTGGGTATCTATATCTACCCTTTAAAACTAACAGGAAGAGTTTCTAGTTGACTATGACTGTATTAGTGTTATTTCAAGTGAGCTTAATGAATATATACTCATGAAACTACTTCATGAACCATTTACGTCTTATTGATCTCACAATACGTGTGAAAGTGAAATATTCTTTATCAAGTAAATGAATTTAGTAACTTAAAAGTAATTCCCATGTGGTGCAGATGATTGGTCTCTCCCGTGTGTTCCAGTTTCTGGATCTGAGGAAATTTGCATTGGCAGTCAGAGATTAAGAGTTATCTTTGCACCGGTAATCTCCATTTTTTTGTTCCAGTTTCCTCTGATGAGAATCACATTCCCAAATGAAATTTGCATTGTCAGTCAGAGATTAAGGGGACCTCTTGACCATTAAAAATCTTTACTAGAGCTTGTTGAAGTTGTGATTAAACTTAATACCAGAAGTTGTAAGAAACGAATCAAGTTAAAGTCATTTCCGAGTTTTACTTCCATTTTAACTCTATCTTCCATGTAACACGTTGACATTTTCCTGTAATCAGTTTTGTTGAACTTTAACATATTCTCTTGGTGACAATATTGTGATTCAGGGGCATACAGATGGACATATGGGACTGCTTCATGTTAGTACAAACTCGTTGATTGTCGGGGATCATTGTGTGGGGTAAGATATTTTTGATCAAGAAACTCCATTTCCTTAAACAAATTGGAATGTTCACTTGATAAATAATTTAAGGACATGCTTACCAGTTTGTATATAGCTTCCTACTCCTTCTGAACAAGTATTTACCTTTTTTTTTTTATAATGATATAGGAAACAATCTGTTCAAGAAGTCTGTGATTGTGTTTGGCCAACTTTACATTTGTTTGTCATAGCTTTTATCATTTCTTCTCCTCTTCCTTTCTTGATAGTTGCTAATTTGATGTATCCCTTGGTTTTCAGCCAAGGAAGTGCTCTTTTAGATATTGCGTCCGGTGGAAATATGAGGGTAAGTTCGTCTCAGCACCTCTATGTTTCTTTTCGCCCCTCCGTTATACATGCAATGCTAATTAGAAGCTGATAATTTGCTGTTTCTCATTTATTCCTATTAAAAGATCTGACTCTTGAAGCTTAATCAACCAAAAAATCCTGACATACCTTTTTCCCATATAAAGGTCATTTACTTGTTTCCATATCAATGTGCAAGCCTTTCCATGCGTTCTATAATTTTCTTGAACAGCTCTTTTTTTCTCTCTTTAACTTTTGAAACTTTTTGTGAACTAGTGTCTCTACACAAAGCAGAGGGAATTAAGACTACACCACCAAAGTCCAAACATCTCGTGCAATTTGTTTTCCAATTTTTAGGTTCTTAATTTATATCAAAAGGATCAGCTACACCCATGAGAATGCTCTTCACAGTTTGAGTGAATGGAATGACAATCTAGTTCTAGTATAGTGTTTGTTGTGGGGACTTAAAGGGTTAAACTGGTGGAATCATTGTTTTCCTTATATTGTCTTTCAGAGGTGCTTTTATCTACGTTCAGGTTTCCCCTAGTAAATTTGAAAATGTCCACTCAATAACCACTAAAAACTTGTTAAAATAGTGGATATGTGTTTCTTGTAGCTAGTGGTGGGGTGTTCAACAAGAGCGCATAGCTGAATTCTCTAAAGCTAAATTACTATCTACTTTTACTAGTTTTATTTTTCGATAAGGATTTTTTCTCTATTTTGTAGTACCCCAGTGAATAAGATAAAGATTAAAGCAAGGAGTGGGTGGTCATATGTATTTTATCATCGGGTTCAACTATGACTTGGATAATTTTTTCTTCTTTTCGAAATTCTCTATATTGAAAATTCAACTTCTTCTATACAGGATTACTTTGAGACAACATACAAATTCATTGAGCTCTCTCCTCATGCTTTGATTCCAATGCATGGAAGAATTAATATGTGGCCAAAACACATGCTCTGTGGGTATCTCAAGTACGAAACTGATACCTCTTATGGCTTATTCCATATATGCTGATACCTAGAGTGTCTTTTCTGTCTATCAGCCATTGGCAAGATCACTGGACATATTAATATATGATTCAATTGATGCACATCTAATTTAGTGTTACCTGGGATTGTCAGAAACCGGAGATACAGAGAATCAACCATCTTAAAGGCCATAGAGAATGGCGCCAAAACGTTGTTTGATATAGTTGCTTACACTTATGCCGAAGTTGACCGAAGCCTCTGGTTTTATGCCTCATCAAATGTGAGACTCCACGTGGATCATCTAGCACTGCAGGACAAGTTACCAAATGTATGTCTTCTTTGCTCCCTTGTGGATTCAACCTCAATTCTTTATACGTCTGAGCTCATCTTCATGATCACAGTTAAATTATTTTCAGTTTTCTATGTGATCTCCATCTGTCTTCTTGATTGTTGTTATTTACTACCATTTTATAGTGGAGAACTATTTGCACATTCATTGTTTTGTCTCAATATCCATCTGATGCACTGTCCAGTAGTGAAAAATCAACTCATTGAAGCCTGTTAACCAGGTTGAACGTACCTAGGAAGAATGGTCTGCAAGAAGGTTGTCACATTAAGGACAAAGAATAAGCTACTAAAATTAATGCTCCTCTTTGAAAATCTACATTGCATGGCTATCTTACGGGCTATGAATGAGCTCAGTTCACTGTCAAAACTATCAGTTTTGTTGAGTTGTGGTCCATGGAATGTGGTATTTTGCACTTTCTTACCAACTTTCAGGTTGAATGATAACATTTTACAAGTGCTTATGTTTCTTGAATTATTTTATCATGAAGTAGATATGATTGCTAGTCCCTTTTCGTGGAAACTTTTGGTGATCCATAAACTAGATTTGGGCCCCTAGAGAAAATTATCGATGATAGTGTATGCAAACACTTCTGGATGCTGATTCGCTCTGTTTCTAGCTTTGAGTGTAGATATGAGTGCAATAGTTGGGCCATATATTCATATGTCTTTAGTAACTTAATTGATTAGGATCCCAAACTTTTCTGTGTCATGTGCAGGACTTCTCTTTAGAAAATTTCAATCGCAGTTGTGCTGAGTTTGCTGACAAGGTGCATAAAAAATAAGGAAACTTTCAGAAAGCTGCCCACTAAGACCTGCAGTTACCTTTATTCCTTTAGGTTGGACGGCTACTTATTTTCCCTGTAATAGTCTGTACTGCCTAAATAAAATTCATCAGATACAGTCTTGAATACAGATCATTTTCTCAAAAGCATTGTATCTGTTTGTGACTTGGTTTCATATTATCAAGGGCCTAAAGTTATTTCCATCATTGATTTGCAGGATTTTTCGATCCAAAATTTTCAAGCAACTTGTGGTTTGCGTTTCCTTTTAAGGTGGCTATTCGAATACTCAAGTAGTGCATTCTCAATAAAGCATCACACGATTAGAGCGGCTTTACTAGTTGGTACTGTGGCCGTGGCCACCGGTTGCTTGGCTGTATCATTCTCCACAAAGAAACAAACTTTTTCTAGGTGATGCAAAGAATTCTTTCTCCAGAAAGCAGAGTTTATTAAGGAAGTTAATACCGGCTGGCTCCAGGTCATCCTCTCTCTCAATGTACCAGTAGTTCTAAGAGAAGGGGTAAGATATTTGAATTCCCGGTTTTTAGGAGTAAAATACATTGATAATGTTGTATGCATATCTCGCCACAATTTTTCTGCATGTCTGCATCTCTGATATTTCTTTGTGGCTGAAGTATGAGATTGGATTAATTAGACAGTAAACAAGGTTATTGTTTATTGATCACAAAACTTCTGAGACAGTTAATACAGAAACCATCTTTTGTTTAGCAGTGCCTGCTATTTCATCGACGAGTGCATTTTTCATTAGCGGTGCCTATTGTTTCATGGATGGTGAGCATCAAGCGCACTAATTATATATAGTATCTTCCTTCTCTTTTCACTTTTTAGGATCAATGCATATTCCTGATGTAATTCTGCACATTAAGTTGTTCAGCTCCTTTCTTTGCAACTTTTATTAACCATTTCATGTGGCTTGCTACAATATTTGTCATTTTAATCACAGAGGATTTTTGCATTTCCTTTCTTGTTCACAAGGAATCCATGCATGGTACAGGTCGCGTGGTATGAATGTAGTTAAAAGTGATGGTAAAATATGTAAAAAGGGCAGTAACAAAGTAAATTCTGTGCATCACTTATCATATACTGTTTCCGTGTCAATATTTTTTTTCTATCTTCTGTCCTCTCGAGCCGAGGGTCTTTCAGACACATACTCTCTGCCTTCCAGGGTAGGGATAAGATCTGCGTACACATTGCCCTCCCCAGACCCCATTTGTGGGATCCCACTTGGTGGTTGTTGTTGTTGTTGTGCACTAACAGTGGGTAATAATAACCTAATATTTCTATGCCATTAGGGTAAAGGTATCTGCAATAACAAGTTTATGACAAGCATGATGTGATAACTCGAAAAATAATATAGTAACATGTTATAACAAGTTAAATTACACTGAGTGTAAAAGTGTCTTTACACTATCGATGTATATTTAAACCCGTTCGTTTATACTGTCAGTATATACAACTTAAACTTGTTCTAAACCATTCATTTCCTTCACACTGTTCTTTCTTCTGGGCTCATAATTACTATTTACTTTAACTGCAATAAAAACAAAAACCACACCTTGCTTCTTTCATTTCACATTTTCATCTTTCCCATGCCAACACTTCCCATGCTCCTTTGCATTCATTCCCTTTACGCATTTTTGCTGCATTTCCTTATTTTCTCACTTTATAGATATCATAAATTGACACCTTATGTTATCATATTTAAACTAAACAAAATAGAAGATAACAAGAAATGTACATAGCCATGTTTGTTAGAGAACTCTATATATACATCAAAAGAGAAGTTAAGGAAATGAGATTCCAAATTATTACCACCATAGTTTTTACTTTGTCTATGGCATTTTTTGTACTACTATTAGGAATGTTCATCAATGATCAATTCAAGAAGATTGTTATTTATGAAGATTTCTACTTTCCTCATCAACTCACTACACTCTCATCACCAATCTACAATCTCTCTGTCGTCTCGACACATCTTGTTTGTAACTCTTCATCTAATTCTAGTACTTCCATTAGTAGCATGGAGTTGAAAGATTGGCTTTCTCCTAAGGATCTTTGGCACGCGATGAACGACGAAGAACTAATGTGGAGAGCTTCAATGGTGTCTCAAATTATGGAGTACCCTTTTAATAGAACTCCAAAAGTGGCATTCTTGTTCTTAACAAGAGGAAGATTGCCATTGGCACCACTTTGGGAGATGTTCTTTAAAGGACATGAAGAGTTGTTTTCAATATATCTACATACTTCACCAGAGTTCAACTTTGAGCCTCCACCAACATCTGTGTTTTATAAAAGAAGGATACCTAGCCAGGTTCAAATACTCTTTTTTTTTAGGCAATTTTTCCTAATTATTTTGTTTTTTACCTATTACATTTTGGAATCTTATACAACTAGCCGGTCGGATTCACTGTTTACTTTCTTAGCAGGTATACATAGAATATACAATGATTATACATGTTATACACACACACACACACACACACACACACATATATAT